GCAAAAACACCCATATTGTTTGGCTATACTTTTGTATAATGTAAGAAGGACTGGATAATTTAGGGCCCATCTAGAGAAGAAATGGAAGGTGTTGTCTGCTACAATATGTTGATGACACCGTATTTTTATCGCAATATGATTTTAGAGGTACTCCTAACTTAAAGTTCATATGGCGTACCTTTCAGCAAATGTCTGGACTTAAAATCAACTTCTGTAAGAATGAGTTGTATCTTTTTGGAAATTCTAAAGCCTTCTGAATATACCAGAATTTTTACATGTCCACGAGGAAATTACTAATGAATTATCTTGGTGCTACTATAGATGAATCTAAAAAGAAACATGTAGAAAATAAAATTGAGAATATATTTGGATGCTAGCGGCAGAAAGTGCTTTATATAGGAGTGAGATTAATCGTCATTCGGTCTGATCTCTCTAACATGCCTTAAACATTATGCCTTTCTATATATTACATGTTGAGCCTATAAAAGAATTGATTTTCTAGAGCCAAGCTTCTTTGGCAGGAAGATCAACAGAAAATTGCCAACCTAAAGAACAGGGTGGTCTTGGGGTTGTAAATTTGAATATTATGATCAAGGCTTTGCTAGCTAGTTGGATATGGAAGCTTGAGACTTTTTATGGGGTGTGTCAATCTAATGAATCTATCCTACAAATGAAATCATTAAGAAATGATGCATTCAAGGATTAAGTGATTATGTGTGATTTTTTTTATTTTAATAAAAATGCTTTTGTTGCTGCCATTAAGGAATGTTTTGGATAATGTTCATTGCAGGGAGATACTTTGCAACTGGAGATTCATTAACACACGCATTGGTGTCTTCACAACTAATTCTATGTATAGAAGCATGGTTTCAGTTAATGCTTCTTTTTTGCATAAGTTTCTCTGGAAAGTTGGATTAGAAATTTCCATGTTTTGACCAAAGAAATTTAGTTGGAAGGGGATAGTATGCCATGAAGTTGCTCATCTATGCACAAAGTAATCTGCAAATTGGATTTGGAGTCCAAGTGAATTAACTGACTTCAATGCTTGAGACAAACGAGATGTAAAGGTATTCCTCAGCAAAATTATGTTTATCTCACAGGGGAAAGCAAGCCACCTGAGTAAAGTTATCACTGATGTACAATTTCTCTGGCAACTTGAATAAAAAATTGTCCCAGCTCTGCATTACTGCTCAGCTAAAATAAATTATTGGTACATCAATGGCTAACTACATGACCAATTGCTACAGATAAAACAAAAATGAAAACCAAGTAAATTCAACTATCTTTTGGAGGAACTGTATGACAACTAATAACTCTAGGATGTACACTTTCGGCAGTAAGAAAGAGTTCCTCCATAAATCAACCCTGGTAACCAGCAGACGACTGACTGAAAAAGCTTGATATGATACAATGAATGAGAGCACCTGATTCAACAAAATAAAGACTGAATTGTAAGGAATCTATAGAACGGGGAGCAGCATACTGCAGCTTGTTTAATGCAGGAGGAATAGCAAAGTTTGAAATGCACCTGAGCCTTTTGAGCTTCTTAGTTTGACTCGTTTGCACTTCTTAAAGAAAATCTAGGAAGCATGGTGCTCTCACTAAAATTTTGGTTGCTCAAGGCACTTCTCAAAGAATCGGCTACCCTGCACCATGAAAGAAACAGTAAGTACACCTGAAATAAAGCAGCTGACATATTGGTGTAGTTACAGAAGACCATCTTTCCGCACCTTAAATGCAAAAGTAATATCTGAAATGTCAATCTGAAGCATTACTCTTCTAAGCTTATCTTCTTTGGATTGCCCTAATTTCAAGTATCCCTGCAATGCAAACTCCATCAAACACTCAGATAATTTTGGTTTCTTTTTCTTCTAGTATTGATGATACATAATAAAGAACCATGGGTGTTTGCATACCTGATCGCTCAAAATCATGCACATGTTAGAAAATTCAAGCATCCCAACTGCTGGAACTTGGGTCGATCTACAAATTTCTATGTATGATTTGTTGAGCTGTAACAAGGCATCCATAGGCAACTTAGAACGTCATAATTATACAGGATGTGAAGACCAAGTGTGTTCATTCAGAATGCTATCAAGTAAATATTACCTCTCCTAGAGTAGTAGCCTTTTTCCTGGAATGTTGAAAGGTATTTGCCAGTGCACACAGCACCATCTGTCCAACCAAGATGGCATGAGTGAGAATGAGATTTCAGAAATGAAGCAAAATAGCTTAATTATAAGATGAGATTATGAATTAGTCTTTACCTGTTGGTGTTGGGGAAGGCACAGTATGTTATTTACTACTGCTGGCCTGAAAACCTTCGACAAGGCAATGTCCATATGGTCAAATGTCACCTGGTAGAATTTATGTTAGATTGCACATAACATTGGAATGTGGGGTCTAAGAAGAGATATCACTATCTTCTAAAAGGAAAGTTGTTTTTTTTGGCAAGAATGATTAAATCGGATAATTTAGTGCACTGAGGATTTAGAACACAGCAATAGCATGCCAAGATACATTCAAGCCTAGTAGTGGATGTTGTTCGAATATCAGTTGGTCATTTGGGAATTGGGAGGATAGACAGAATGAAGCAACACTCAAGATCCAAGCAGTCCAATTGGTCACAACTGACATAGGCAGACCGCATTCATTTCAACATAACTGAAATGTAGAATGTGACCCGACAGATGAACTAATGGCAAAAATCAGATCATTGTTTATATGAGCTACAGAGGTGTGGCTTGGTGTAGAGACCACTTTATTCAAATTTAAACATTCCTGGCGAAAATAAACATGAGAAACCAAGAAACTTACAACTCCAGCTCCTTTATCAGAAGAATCTTGTAGTCCTGATTCAAATATTTCCACAGCACTCCTGGAACAGATAAAAGGACAAACTACATTTCAATAAGCCATACATAAGCACCAACCCCATCCAGAACTCTTTCAACAATAGATATGCTTTATATTTTCATCAGCTTTAATAATAAAGGTGGCAGATTGCAAGGTAATATGATAGTGATCTCCACAAGAAATAAATTACCTGCAAACACCAAGAGCTTTTCTCATGTCTCCAGTGGCTGCAGCTACTTTCTGATAAAAGAATAAAGCAAAGTTAAAAACTCAGAATGTACATATTACCATCAGAGCATCAGCATCCCTAGCACCCTCACACCAGATTTCCTAAACCCCATTTAGTATCACTTTACCATATCCCTTAGCAACACTTATAGGCACAAATACTTCCGATTTTGCTAGTTAAAGCAAAAACATGTTATACATAACCACACAAGTAATTTATTTGCTAGTTTTTTTTCTTAGCACCTACCATCACATCATTTAGCATTGGTGCTAGGTAATTTCGCCTACCTTTAGTGTTTGGTTAGCATCTAGTGATATGGATACTCTAAGCCATATCCTGGTGTTGCCCTAAACAAAATGTATACTTCCTCACAAAAAGTACTGCCTGATTAAGGATAACTGGACTTACCCTAGCACAAAATTCTATCGCCATTGGCTCAAAGACATCATACTCAAGAACCTGCATAATTAACAACATAGAAAGTTACATACAGCAAAACAGTTTAAGTTGACAATTTATGGAACACCTGTAAGCTTGAATTAGTCATGTGGGAAAATACCTTTAACCTATGATTAATTATGTTGGATATTTGATCCTTGGAATAGGCTCGGAAAGTTATAACAAGTGGCTTGCCTGTAAATTAGTGTCATCATGCCAAAGAAATATTAGTTTCCTTCATGTTAGCAGACATAACAACAAACACATTAGCAAGTAAATTGAAGGAGCCATTCAATTTTCACTACAGCATATATAGTAAGAATGTTTACAATTTAAGGATTCAAGCTTTGGAAGAAACCGATCTGCTAGGTCTATTGCATTTGCAATTCCTGAAAAAGATAATCAACGATCAGTTAGCAAAACAGTACAAAATGCTGAGTAAGATTGTTTTCCTTTTCTTTTCAAGAGTTAAAAGTGTACAATGTAGGTGTGAGTATCACAGAAAACTAACCTATCAGTATGCATCTCGAGAACTGGTGGGTGGTAAGCATGAAAAGGTCATGTAGCACAGCGCGGTCTCTTGTTATCAAGTAGTCCATCTCATCCACAACGACCAATCTGGCAAGCGGTGACATACAGTTCAGATAGCATGATCAAAATGGCAAGAAAAGCCATCATCGTACAAGCAGGGTGCAGATAGTTCTTACAGCATCCTCCTTGGAGCAGATTCTTTGTGAGAAAACATACGCTGCAGTTGCTGAAGTGGTGACAATTTGCCACTTGCCTTTTTCCGAACCTGGAATTTTTCAAGTATCTGCATCAAAATCCCTATTAGTACTGCATGATCGGGGCAATAAGAAGATTTGAGCCCATAATTTAGCAACAATGCGTACCTTGCCAAAAATGTCAGATGTGTTTCCAAGGTTCGTGCAATTGATTGACAAATCATCAGGCGTCTCCATTCCCATCTACGCGCGAGACAAATGACACACAATTTGACAAAGTTTCCTTTTGAAACAGAGAAATTTGCTCACATGCTGAAATCCTGTAATGTACCTCATCAGCCCATCGCGACACGCTCTGCTTGACCTTGCTGATCGACAGTGTCTTCCCTGTACCGGGGCACCCGCACACGTAGAGGCTCCCCGCCCTCTCCTGCTGGACACACGCCTTGCAGAATTCGAACACGCGCCTTTGCTCATCGTCCCTGCAAACCAGGCCGCACGAGGGCGTCGTGGCCACGTGCAGCGCCTCCTTGACCGCCTGCATCTGCGCCGGATCTGCGGGGCACAGTGAAATTTTTGGCCGTCAGAACCAAACAAGGAAAGGCAGCGGATGGCTGGAGTGAGATCTTAGAAAACTTGCCTCTTGGGTTCCACTTGGGTCTCTCCGCCGGGACGAGGTCGCCGTAGAGGCGCTTCCGGGAGGACTTGGGCGACGCCGAGAGCATCTTCGGGGCGCCGAACTGCAAGGCCGAGCAGTTGGTGCACATTGTCAGGAGATGTGAAATGAAATGAAGCGGATCCGCGCGGGGCAGGGGGGCGGAGAACTTACATTGCCGGTGCCGGCGAGCGGGGACTTGTGGGGGGAGGTGAAATGGGGCGAATCGGGCGAATCGGCGGCGCGGCGAGCGGTCATGCGGCGCTTGGCCGCGCTGCTCGGGGTGGTGCCGGCGGCCGCCGGGGAGGGGGTGGTGGCCGTCGGGGACGGGGTGGCCGCCGGGGCAGGGCTCAGCGTGGCGCTGCGGAGCGTCGGCATCGGGAGAGAGTCGGGAATTGGCGACTGGATTTGGCGGTGGAGGGAGAATTTGGAGGGAGTTGGGGAGGAACTGGGCGCGGTTGAGAGGGGAGGGAGGAGGGTGGGAAGAAAAGGGCGCCTCCCGCGGCGGGAGGGGGCGCGTGAGCGCGCCAACTGGTTTTGGACTTCGCGCGGGAAGGGACGGCAGCGCCAGATTAGAACGCGCGCTGGCGGGCTGCGGTAGTTTCTAATTTTGGCGAATGGGGGCGAGGTAATGACTCTTCAGAAATGGAAAAATATGCGGGTTTCATTTAGAAGGAAAATTGGTACAGTGTCGACTGAGTGGAGTCGTTTTTACTTCTTTTTTTCGATCAAAATCGTTTTACATCTTCTTTTGGTCTTTTGAGAAACTACTTCGATCAGACGCAGCGAAGCAGCGTTGGATGCGTCGTTTCACACCGACGCCTACCGTCATTTTCCGAATGTAGTACTCCCTCCGTCCGGAAATACTTGTCGAAGAAATGCATAAAAATGAATGTATCTAGAACTAAAATACATCTAGATACATCCATTCCTTCGACGAGTATTTCCGGACGAAGGGAGTACGTAACAGCGTACTGGCGACACAAACCTGGAAGTTTTGTGCTCCCGGGTCTCTAGAAAATTTAAATCTAAACTCTCACATGCAAATATAGAATGGACTATGTGTATTATAATTTTTCTTCTTTGCTAGGGCTGGAATTCGAGCCGAGTCGAGCTAGCTCGGCTCGACTCACTAGAACTCGTTTCGTTAACGAGCTAGCTCGACTCGACTCGTTATTATAATGAGCTCAAATTCAAGATTGGCTGACTCGTATAACTCGCGAGCTGGCTCGTTTAGCTTGTTAAGCTCGTTAAAGATATAAACATAAAACCCTCAAATATTATAAAAATAATTATGTATATATTAAACATATATATCACTAACAATAGTAATTTTTTTGTAACGCATGAGTCTCCTAGGCGGTTGGGCCTTCAACGGCTAGGCCTTGTGTTGTGCGCCTAGAACATAGGGTGCTGAGTGGCTGATCTTTTTTTGTATTGGGAGTGGCTGGTCTTTTGTACCGAGCCTAACGAGTTACACAAGTACTCGTGAGATTGGCTCGTTTAACTTGGTCTATAAACGATCTTACACTAAAGCTTGGCTCGACTCGTTATTCTTCGAGTTCGAGTCGATTCGAACCGAGTCACGAGCTACTCGTTTAGCTCACGAGCTTCGAGCTTTTTTTTCAGCCCTATTCTTTGCCTATGAGCACTGTATTGATTTTTTTTAGTTTGATGAAGAAAACGGGGGCAATGAGCTAAATCGTTTTTTTAGGTGTGTGAAGTTTTTGGGAAACGTTTAAAATCGGACGGCTGGCCGAGCTTCTGGCTGGTCCGCGATCACTCTCTTGCGCACTCGCACCACTTCTCTTCGCGCTTTGCCCACGCATTCATGGTCCTACGTGCACCGGTCCTTATCTGCAGGCCGCAACACCGCTCATCCACACAATCCCCATCTCCATAGATTTTCCTCGTCTCCCTTTCTCTTTTTTGCCCTCCAGAACTCGTCCGCCTGCCTCGCGTGGGTCGCCGCATCTTTAGCTCTGGTGAGCCTCACCACCGCCAGGCTCCCCTATGCTACTTCTTTCTCCCTCCCCTTCCTACTCTCCGACACACCCTCTTGCCGATGTAGCTACTATCGGCCACGCAGGAGTTGTGGCCGACAAACGGAGGAGCTACATCCAGCCACGTCGGGAGCTACAACCGACGGACGGATGAGCTAAAAGTCCGGGAGCTACAAACCAATGATAGTCATGCTGGAACCAACACGCAGGGGGGCTGCAACCGGCGCACGCCTATGCTGGAACCAACCATCTCCGATGCCGGAACCAACGCTCCCCGTGCTGGAACCATACTATGGAAATGCTGGAACCAACCATCTCCGGTGTTGGAACTGTGCCGTGGAAATGCTGGAACCAGCCATCTCGGGGAGTTAACACTGCAACTAGCTACAACCCGGCTTACGACGAATCGGCAACGGCACCCCATTTTCCTGGGACCATGCAGCGCAAATTGCTGCGTAGGGCGACCACTAGAGTGCTGCCACCTCGCATGGGGGCAAAGCAACGGCCGGTGATGACGGGACTAGCCACGGGTTGAAACATCGACGCCGAAAAAAGTTGCTACATCGGACCCTTTTTGCTATGACCGGCGAAATTTTTTGCTGTAACCGGCAATCGGAGGGTGAGTACATTCTTTTGCGAGCTCGGCGGCGGCGTGATACGACCAGGGCCACTAGAGCTGCGACCGTCGCCATGGGGAGCTGCACCCGCAGGCACACACTGCTGCATGCACGAAGCTGGCGAGAAACGCAGGGGACGATGACGGTGACGACAACCGACAACAACAACAATGATCGATGGCTGTCGGTGCAACGAACCCTGGGTCTATTGCCCAGACCATGCACAGGGCCAAAAGGAGCAAGGTTGCACCATCCAAGACAAGGCCAAGCTGAAGAGATCAGCTCTTTGAGAAATTAGAAGGCAGATCAAGAAGACCAAGTCAAGCCAAACGAGCAAGAAACCACTAAGGGAAAACCTCCCTTGCCGGGCAGGCGAGCCTGGCGAGGTCGAGGTGGCTCCAAGAGTAAGTATCAAGACCGTCTCGGCAGGCCTGCCGGGCACAACGAAGGTAAAATACCCCGTCAAGGATCCACCGCTCCACCTCGCGGCGACGCAAGTCATCGATCGGTGTGGTGTCAAGCCCCCAAGTGACTAAGTGGCTGTTTTTTGCCACATGGCAGCCACTTCGTATGGAAATCACCTCCAAATGACACCCGTCCAGCGACGTGTCAAGCAGATAGACAAGAAGGTGGCAGAACAGCCCAACAAGGCTTGCCGGGCATTCCATGATGTGACACTAAGCGACGCATTTAATGTGCTCTGCCCTGTCTGCAGAGTTAGGTATGATAGCACTGTTCGCTATCTAACCAGGGCACAATGACTCATTTGCCATTGTGGTGACCCCTTGATCTATAAAAGGAGGCATGTGGCAACCATAGAAAGGATTCAGACCCCTGTACACTCATACGCGCATAGCTGCCCTCGACCCAAGGCAACCCTGCCGGGCCAGACCACTGCGTTTCCACCGCTATCCACCATCAATCCACCAAAGCAGGAGTAGGGTTTTACGCCTCACAGCGGCCCGAACCTGGGTAAAAACTGCCCATGTGATCTCTGTCGTGCTGCGCGACGTTCTTCGCTCTTTGTGCAACGTGCTCACCCCCTGCCGGACCACAAAGGGGCTCATGGACCCATAGGTGGTTGTGGTTTCCCACGACATCTTTGGTGCGCCATGTAGGGGGAAGCACTTGCGCGAACCCGAGAAGCGTACGCAGCGCGTCATCTTCATCGTCATTTTCTTCATCGACGGCTCCATCGCCCATGGTGCCCAATAAGAAGTCCAGTGTCGAAGCCCATCCATCCACCTTGAAGGCCCCGTCGCACGCGGCCGCCGACGCCGCGGGGGCTACGGGAACGCACGAGATGTGGACGCCGCGGGGGACGTGGTCGGCGCAGGTGGCGCTGTCACCACCTTCCCTGTGGCCGAAACGGGAGCCAGAGACATTAGAGAAGGATAGCATCAACTGCACCCCAGCGGCGACGCTCCATGAGGTACGGGTGGAGAGATCATTCCGTCTGCACCCCTCCACCCAGCCGAAGGGCACAGCCACCGCGGCGGCACTCGCTCTGTGTCGAATCGCAACTCTCCGTCCGCTCCCACTACGGGCGCGATCGCAGGGCATGCACCACCCTCGGAGCAAGCTGACCCGGCCATTGTGCCCAACGAAGCTGCTGGTCCTCCAGCGCCTCCACCTCGTCACCACGCTATCCTGGCGACTGGCTCACGGCGACGAGAACACGGCGCGGCCACTACCAGCACCATCAGGAGTCAGGCGATGTTACGATCTACATCATCATTCATGCCAAATAAGCACAACTTCGGAGACCATGGCACGGGCTCAGCTACTGTTGACATTTCCACCGCAGCCGATCAGATGGATGAGTGGAGAACCACCATTCAAAGCCTGATTGGTTTCGCCGAGGCGGGAGGATCGCAGCGAGCTGGCCCGCCACGGTCTCCCCGGGCGATGACAATAGCCCACGCTGTTGGCCATGCCGAAGGGGCCACCCCCACGGTGCAGTCCCCTCCGCGGCAGCCTGCGCAGGGGCCACGGCCGGAGACACGCAATCAAGAACACGACGACATCTCGATGGCTTCGTCCGACCCTCGAGCGCGTCAAGGCCAACGCGCGAGGCCTGGAGGACGGGCAACGAGGAGGCGCGCGCGTCACCATCGCACGACACCACGATACCCACCGCCAGTCCAATTGGCGCGACGGTCCCAACGTCGACGAGCCCGTACTCGGTGAAGGTGGGTGCCTGCCCTTCGAGGTTGGGTGTCCCGCCTTCACCCGTGAGTTGCGGCAAGTCCGTTGGCCGTCCTCTCGCACGTTCAAGCCAGAAATACGAGAGAAGTATGATGGGAGACTGAACCTGACAGAGTTCTTGAGCATCTACACCATCACTGTTCAAGTTGCTGTGGGAAGAGACAAGAAGGTGTTCGCCAATTATTTCCCTTTGGCACTCAAGCCAAATGTGAGGTCTTGGCTAATGCACCTGTCGGAGAACTCCATTTTGACCTGGGCTGACCTATGTCATGAGTTCATTGGCACCCTCACAGGTGGCCATCAAGAACCAGGGCAGCGCAGTGACTTGCAGCTCCTCCCACAGAAGGAAGGAGAGACTATGCGGAAGTACATGCAGAGGTTTGACAGAGAAACATCCCAAACATCCACTCGACGGCTGTGATAGTTGCGTTCTAGTCCAACGTGCGCAATCGGCGGATATGTTCCAAGACAAATGTTCGATTGCCCAAGACTGTGAAGGAGCTTTACACTCTAGTGGGTAAGTGTGCCCGAGTAGAGGAGGGGAGGCGAC